CTGTAATTGTGGTGGGGGACACAGCGCAGCTTATGGGGGATGCCCTGCTCAAATACAAGCCCGTGAGATAATGAAATATAAAGTAGTGAATCAAGTATCATATGCTGATGCAGTGAAGGAAATCCAACAAACTGAAACAGCCCCAGCGGCAGGTCGGGACCTTTGGCCCACACCCAGGCCCCAAGCGCCAGCACCGCTCCCACAGAGAGTCCGAGGTGTAATAGACCAAGGTCCCAGGAGGACTAGCACAGACTCGATGGTACTGGACAAGGTCCGTGTTGTAGCTTTCATTTGCCAAGTAGTGGATGTGGCGATCCGGATGGAAAGCAGAAGCGAAAGAATTAATTGTGTGGTGGAGGCAGCAATTGAATTCCTGGCCATTAAAGAAGTGGATGTAGATAAGATTCATGATCTTGTCCAGACAAAAGATGGAGATGTGGAAAATGCTGATTGAAATAGTCATGGTGTTCCAAATCTTACAATGGAACGCCAGGAGTCTAATTGCTAATGGCCAGGAATTTAAAAAGGCTGTCACAGAAATGGGTAAGAGCCCTGAAGTTATTTGCGTTCAAGAAACATGGCTTAGACCACATTTGGACTTTGTCCTGCCGGGGTTTACAGCTGTCAGGTGTGACAGGGAAGATGCCCAGGGTGGTGGGTGCCTAACGTTTGTTAAAGACACAGTGGCATTTAGGAAGGAATGTACTGTATCTAATGACCTTGAAGGTATAGTAATTAAGATATGTGGTCCCAGGGGAGACATTAAAGTTGTAAACTTCTACAACCCATGCAAGAAACTGTCACAACAGACTTTTAATGATATTTCTGCTACCGTAGAAAGACGAGAAGTCTGGTGCGGGGATTTCAATGCTCACAATACCCTTTGGGGAAGTGACCATACTGACTCAAATGGAGACGTAGTGGAAGGGATGATGGAGGAAAGAGCTTTGATATGCTTAAACGATGGCAAAGCGACAAGGATAGATGTAGCAAGGAATCGGGAGTCTTGTTTAGATCTGACACTTGTATCTGGAGCACTAAGCAACCTCTGTGAGTGGACTGTCTGGAGTGATAGCATGGGAAGCGATCACTTCCCTATTTCCTGTTCGATTGATTTTGATGTGTGCGTCCAGGAAGATATGGTAGTGGATAAATGGTGTTTTGCCAAAGCAGACTGGGGCATGTTCCAAACAAGATGCTTGGAGACCTGTGAGAAGATGGTCTTGGAAAGGGATGTAGAAAGTGGCAATGAGACTGTTACTAATGTGGTTTTAAATGCGGCACTTCAGTGCATACCCAGAAGGTCGGGTGTTTTTAAGAAACAAGCGGTTCCTTGGTGGAACGACAAATGTACGGCAGCTATTAAAGAAAGAAATCATGCTCGTAGGAACTTGAGGACATGCTGTAATCAGGATAGTATCCTGGATTATCAAAGAAAGGTGGCCCTAGCAAGAAGGGTGATTAAAGCCGCTAAAAGGAGTGCCTGGAGGCAGTTCTGCTCAGCTATTGGAAGTGAAATCAAGCTAAAAGAGGTATGGGGAATGGTTAGGAAGATGACTGGGAAGAAACAATGTAACAAAATACCTGTACTGGTGGAAGATTATAGGGCTGTTACAAATAAGGAGAAGGCCGACTTACTTGGCAAGAAGTTTGCTGGTATACATAGTGGTAGTCATTTGGAGCAGAAACACAGAATACGTAAGGAGGAAATGATTAGAAGAAATCCAGATATCACGAGGAAAAAGCCAAGGGAAGCTACACCCCTGGATATGGACATCACTCTAGATGAACTTAAAAGAGCTCTGAATGGGAGTGGTTTCTCTGCCCCGGGCCAGGATCAGCTGTGCTATGTTGTGTTTAGACACCTCCCAAATGAGGCTCTAAACTGTGTTCTTGGGCTATTTAACAACATTTGGAGTGAAGGAAAGATGCCAGTAAGCTGGAAAAGGTCAATTATTCTGCCATTCAGTAAACCAGGCAAGGACTCGACAGATGCAGGAAATTACCGGCCTATAGCCCTGACATCACATTTAGCTAAATGGATGGAAAAGATGATTGTAAACAGATTGTCGTATTATTTGGAGCACAAAGGTAGTTTTAGTTCCGGCCAATGTGGTTTTAGGAGAGGTCGGGCTACAACGGACGCTCTCGTCAAAGTTGCCAATGAAGCTGAAAAAGCTGTTCAATATAAAGAAGGAATGGTAATTGTCTATTTTGATGTCGAAAAGGCATATGATTCTATGTGGAGAGAAGGCTTGCTCATCAAGCTGGAGAATATAGGGGTTGGTGGTAGGATGTATAACTGGATCCTTGATTTTTTGTCAGATCGCACCTTTGAAGTGAAGGTGGGAAATGCTGTGTCTGAGGAATATGGTATTTCAAATGGAATTCCGCAAGGTAGCTGTATTAGCCCAATATTGTTCAATGTGATGATAAATGACATATTTGAGAATGTTGGAAACGGGATTGGGTCGCTGTTGTATGCAGATGATGGTGCCATATGGAAGAGGGCCCGAAATGTCAAATATGCTGCTAGGGTAATCCAGGAGGCTATTAGCAAAGTTGAAGAATGGTCGTATGATTGGGGTTTCAAAATGTCTGTCAGTAAGACTTGTTTTATGATTGTCACAAAAAAGCGGAATTTGGGTGATATTGAGCTGAAAATGTATGGACAAAAGATCGAAAGAGTTAAAGAGTTCAAGTACTTGGGCCTATGGTTTGATGAAAAGTGCCTCTGGAGAACTCATGTAGATAAGGTTGGAGACGAAATGTAAGAAGGTGCTGAACCACATGAGGGCGGTCTCAAGCTATGACTGGGGAGCGGATAAACAGTCGCTGCTGGGTATATACAGAGCACTGATTAGGGCAAGTCTTGATTATGGGTGCATCGTATATGGAGCGGCGGCGGGTAGTGTGCTGGCAAAAATAGACAGGATCCAGTATAGAGCTCTTCGGATCAGCATTGGTGCAATGAGGACAACACCTATAAATGCGTTGCTGGTGGAAGCAGGTGAGATGCCATTGAGTCTGAGAAGAATCAAATTATCACTTGTATTTTGGGTAAAGTTGAAAGGGTCGGGGACAGAGCAGCCTGCAAACAGTGTGTTGAAGAATTGTTGGGAGTATTTACGGCCACAGAAATGTAAAGGCTTTGGGTGGACTATTGACAACACAGCTCGGCAGTTTGGGGTAAATGAGTTGGAGGTTGGCCCTGCGCTGGTGTGGGGTGATGTTCCCCCCTTGGATCTTACCCCTGCCTAATGTGAATGTTAATTTGATTGAGAGAAGGAAATGTTGGAATGAGACGAATGGTGCGGCACTTGCTGAAGAGTATGTAAGGAAGAGTTATTACAGTTATTTGGAGATATACACAGATGGATCAAAAGATCCAAATACAGGGCGTGTTGGGGCTGGTGTGTATATTCCGGAGTTTGATGTGTCGATTGGTAAAAGGATTCCTAATAACATGTCAGTGTTCACAGCTGAGATAACGGCCATCATTCTAGCTCTACAGTGGGTAGAGGAGGTCCGGCCTGAGAGAGTGGTTATTTGCTCAGATTCAGCGGCTGCATTGGAAAGTCTCCATGCTAAGGAAACCTGCCGAGATGACTTATTACTAGAAGTTCGCCTTGCATTGCTAAGGGCACAGAGGTCTGGCTTGGTGGTGTGTTTTTGTTGGATCCCTGCTCATATAGGCATAGCTGGCAATGAAACAGTAGATAGAATAGCAAAAAAGGCACTAAAGTTACCAGATGAGGACATTGTGAGGATTCCAGCAGGTAAAGGAGAGGCAAAATCCTTGAAGCAGTTCGACGTGTGTGGCAGAATATGTGGGACTCAGATGGTAAAGGGAGACATCTGTATAGTATTCAAAAAGCCGTCAGGATAGAAGGTTGTAAGGGGAAAGGTAGGAAGGAAGAGATGGTGCATTCGAGATTAAGATTAGGACACACGGGTTTTAGAAAAACGTTTTTTTTAATGGGAAAAGTAGAGTCTGAGAATTGTGATATGTGTGATGTGCCAGAGAGCGTGGAGCATGTGTTGATGGAATGTAGGAAGTATGAAAGGCAGAGGAGGATTCTGAGGGATAGGATGTATGAGCTGGAGAGGGCTTGGAGTCTACAAGGTATCCTGGGTAGAGGGGACAGTAGGAGTATAAGGGCAGTGATGGGATTCCTAAAAGGGGCAGAGCTCTTTCACAGAGTATAGTTTATTTTATTGGTTTTTTTGTTTATTTATTTATTTATTTTTTGTTTATTTATTTATTTATTTTTGTTGTTGTTTGGTTTGCCCCCCTTCGGGGTGGTAAGCTATGCACAATCAGAATGTAACCTGAAGTAACTAGCTTCCCGAGACACACACGGTACAGTAGGTGGCGGTATGCACCTAAGCTGCTGGTTGCCACCCGCCAATAATCGACAGAAGAAGAAGAAGAAGAGCTCATTGCTGTGTTAAAAACTGCTCCAGTGGACTTCCGGTGCAGCTAGCGAGAGGATGACAGCCTGAATAGTTTGCTCCCGACGGTTTTTGTAACTAAAGCTCCCACAGCCACTCTTTCTACAAACCCCTGGGTTTTTTTATTATTATGGACACGGGAGTCTTAACAAGAAGTATGACAAGTGCCAACTCGACTGAAGACGAAGTGAATAAAAGCCGCGGAGAACAAAATCAATCCTCGGAGCTAAAGCTAGCTCGACAAGGCGGAGCTGCGGCTGAACCTTCTCTGCAGGCTATTTTGAGAGAGTTACAGGATTTCAGAAAAGACAGTAGTGAACAATACTCGGACATTAAACGTGAATTAAGAAGAGTAAATGAACGAATGGACGAAGCAGAAGAGAGGATTGATGAAACAGACGGTGCTACAAGCAGCATCCAAGCTAATCATGAGGCTAACGGAGCGTCAAGCTAACCTCGAGGCTAAGTTGCTAGACCAAGAAGGGAGAGGGAGAAGAGACAACCTCCGCTTCTATTCAATAAAGGAAGGTAAAGAAGGAACAGATATGGCGACTTTTATGGAAAACTTGTTGAAAAAGGCACTTGACTTTCCCCGAGACGAAGTCCTTGGAATTGAAAGAGCGCATCGTGCCTTGGTGGCTAAACCTAACAACAACAGCCAAGCTAAACCCAGGTCCATTGTGGTGAAATTTGCCAGCTACCGCACCAAAGAAGAGATCTTACGGAGAGCATGGCAGAAGAAGGAAGTGTTTTGTGACGATGAACGCTTCTTTGTGGATCACGATTTTCCCACAGAAGTGATCAAGAGGCGTAACGAGTATGGGGAGGCTAAAAAAGTGCTCAAGGAGAATCGTATCAAGTTTCAGACCCCATATCCAGCCAAGATGCGTGTTTTCTTTAATGATGGGACCCGTCTCTACCAAAATGCGACTGAGGCGACAAGAGATCTGGCTTCGCGGGGGTTTGCAGTTGGCTTGGTCAAACCCACGGTCACCCCTGACCAACAAGAAATCCAGCTTTTGTCCAACTGGAGAGCAGTGAGAGGAAGGCGCGCGGGGAGCGGAGGACAACAGGATGCGGTGAGAGATGACGCACAGCAGCTGGAGGATCCGCGCGCACGCCTCATGAAACATCTCCAAAGCTTCCGAAGAAACACCGACACTGAGAACTGACTGTAAGAGCACCATAGAAGATCATCATCTGGGTGAAAATTACCTCTCACATTACCACTGGTAAAGGATAACGTGGTTATAAAAGGTAATGTCATGAACAATACAAGTTTATTTTTCTTTTGTATTTTTATTAACGCACTTTATTTTGAAAAAGTCGGGGTTCGAAACTGTTTGAAATGCCTTCCTTAGTGTAGAATTCAGCTAGTATGCGGACATATTTCAGGGCCCCACTCCTGCGAGGAAGTGGGATTTCCCCCTCCTGGGACTTGCATCATCCCCCGACATCATGTAGGGCTCCCTTTACACGAGCCTCTGCCTTGGAAGTATCTGTTAAACTCTGGCGTGTTGTTCTGTTCTGTTTTACATGGTTCACGTTTACTTGCTCTTTGGGAGAGGGCTTGGTTGTGCATGCAAATTGTCACAATTATAGGTTTAATTGGGGAGAAATAATGGTCAATACCATATTTGAAACACATGAATACACAGGACGTTAAAATAATCTCTTTTAATGTAAAGGGTATTTCAAGCCCAGCCAAAAGAAGTAAAATATTTTCTAAGGTCAAACGAGAAAAAGCCCAAATAGTTTTACTACAGGAGACCCACCTCTCTAAGTTGGAACATGAGAAGATGAAGAGAATGGGATACACACGAGCCTTTTACTCATCATACGGTAATGGACGAAGAAGAGGGGTCATAATATTAATATCACATGGAATACCTTTTGAATATGTATCTGAGGAATCAGACACCGAGGGGAGGTACATTTTAGTAACCGGAAAAATCAATAATGTATTAATCACACTCTGTAATGTGTACGCTCCACCTGGAAGTAACTTTGCTTTTTATAGAAAGGTGTTTGATTTGATGGTTGGAGCACCAGGGATTGTAATTTGTGGATCTGACCTAAACCTCCGTCTGGACCCAAATCTAGACGCATCTAAACAGGTGCCAACTACAACATTGCACAAAAAAGTAAGTAATCTAATAAATGAACTGGGAATACTAGACCTTTGGAGAGACTTTTACCCCTCAGGACGTGATTACACCTTCTATTCACATCCTCATGATACATATTCAAGACTAGATTATTTTTTTGTTTTTAAAAGGGACCGCAACAGAGTAAACAGTTGCGACATTGGCTCTATTGACCTTTCTGACCACGCTCCAATTTCTTGTCTTTTGAATATTGAGGAAACCAAAAGGAGAACACTGTGGAGATTTAATACAAGCATCTTAAACAACCCACAGTTTGTGAGCGAGGTGAGAAAGGAAATAAATTCATTTTTGGAATTAAACGACACAGGAGAGGTTGATCCAACCATAGTGTGGGACACTCTAAAAGCAGTCCTTCGAGGTAAAATTATTTCTTGGTGCTCACACAATAGGAAGGTAAAACAGCTCAAATACATTGACTGTAATAGAAGACTGAGAGATTTGGAAAGACAACATCAAATTAACCAATGCCCAAGACTCTTAGAAGAAATAAAGAAATTACGAAATGAAATTAATATACTGTACTCTAATGAGGTTGAAAAAAAGTTTGTCTTTGCGAAACAAAAATATTATGAAGCCGGTCCAAAAGCAGCTAAGATTTTGGCCAGAAGGCTACAAAAAGAGAGAGCAGAGAGCACAATATATAAGATCAAAGACCCAATCTCTGGTGACATTTTGTCTAAACAAGAACAAATACAAGAAATTTGTACTCTCAGCCACCTGTAGAAGGTGAACAAGAAATGGAAAACTTTTTGCGCTCTCTTAACCTCCCTTCTCTTTCTGAGGAACAAAATAGAAGTTTGATAGCAGAGGTAACTGAAAAGGAACTAAACAGCGCCATCTCTAGGTTGAAGACAGGCAAATCGGCAGGGCCAGATGGCTATCCCCCAGACTGGTACAAAGCATTTAGAAAAGAACTTACGCCATGTCTTCTCAAAGCAAATAACACAGTCTTTAAAGAATCCAAAATGCCACCTTCATGGAAAGAAGCGGTTATCTCTGTTATCCCAAAGGAAGGCAAGGACCCGCTGGAATGTGGCTCATTTAGGCCAATTTCGGTCCTAAACGTTGATTATAAATTATTCACAAATATTTTGGCCAAGAGATTAGAGAAGCTCCTTCCTCAGTTGATACACACAGATCAGACTGGATTTGTTCCGCAGAGACAAACTCATGACAACATCAGACGCTCATTACATGTTTTAAACCATATTCAACAGAATAGCCTTGAGGCTCTCCTCGTGAGCCTCGACGCGGAAAAAGCGTTTGATTCTGTCAGCTGGGCTTTTTTGTATAAAGTGCTGGAACAATTTGGTATACATTCTAACTTTGTGAACGTTATCCATACATTGTACAGTGAACCTTCTGCCAAAATAAAAATTAACGGTCATCTCACTAGATCTTTCACACTACAGCGTGGTTCGAGGCAAGGCTGCGGGTCGTCGCCGATCCTGTTTGCTCTATACATAGAGCCTCTTGCACAATGGTTGAGACAAACTGAAAGCATCAAAGGCATCTCTATAAATCAAGAAGAACATAAGGTCGCCCTTTATGCTGATGATGTATTGATCTATTTATCAGACCCAAATAATACATTCCCACAGGTGATGACATTATTACAAACATATGGTAAATACTCAGGCTACAAACTAAATATACAAAAGACCCAACTTTTAACTTTTAATTTCATACCCTCACAACAACTTACAGATAAATATAACCTCAGCTGGGATCAACAATCGTTAAAATACTTGGGAATTAATTTTTGTAAAGAAACTTCTTTAATAGCAAAAATAAACTATGACCCTTTATTAACAAAAATTAAAGATGACATCAAGAGATGGAACACGGTATCTTTTCTTAGCCTAAGTCACAGAATTGAAAGTGTAAAGATGAACATACTCCCACGATATCTTTTCCTGTTTCAATCACTTCCAGTGGAAATTACTGAAAAAGAATTTTCTGAATTAGACAAAATTATTTCTAGATTTATCTGGCAGGGAAAAAGGCCTAGGATTAAATATAAAACTCTACAATTACCAAAGAGAGAATGAGGCATGGCCCTGCCGTACTTTAAAGGATACTTTTATGCTGCTCAAATAAAAACACTTTTGAATATGTGTTCCTCAAAATGTCATGCCTGATGGAAAGACATAGAACTCTCAATTACAAAATCTCCAGTACAGGAAATGTTGGCAAACTCATGCCTGGATGGATATATTAAAAACATCTCAAATCCATGGATTAGAACACAATTAAAAATCTGGAATAAAGTGAAAAAAGAATATGATTTAGATGACAAAATACAAATAATACAATGGTGTGCGTTCGACCCTAAATTCAAGCCTAACTCATTAGATAACACCTTTAAACTTTGGATTTCAAAAGGAATCACTACTTTCTATACCCTCACAGAAGATGGAAAATTCAAAAATTTCGATAAACTGAAGAATGAATTTCACCTTGACAATTCTGACTTTTTTAGATACTTGCAGCTACGGAACCACTTTGAACATAACATTAGGGCTAAAACAGATGTTAAAGACCCTATATTGACAATTTTTCTAAAAGCATACAAAAATACAAATCTTAAAGGAGCCATTAGCAGCTTTTATAAAAGTTTCCTGATGAAAAAATCTCACTCCACAATATATATTAAAGAGAAATGGGAGAAAGAAGGAAACATTGTGATATCTCCTGATGACTGGCCGGACATTTGTGAATCTCAATGGAAAAGTACAAATTCACATTCATGGCGAGAGTTCAGCTGGAAGTGTTTGATTCGCTTCTTTATTACTCCAAAGCAGAAGGTTCACTTTGGTGAAGGAAACGCAGCCTGTTGGAGAAAGTGTGGGGCTTCTGAAGCTGATCATTGGCATATATTCTGGGCCTGCCCAGAGATTACACCACTTTGGGCAGAGTTCCACACAACTGTATCAAAAATATTTCAAATGATTATACCATATAATTTCACAACTCTGTTCCTTGGCCAAGTTTATAATATTAAATTTAAAAACAAATATCTTATGGCTATTCTAATTTCAGCTGTTAAAAAATCTATTACAAGACGATGGCTGCTTCCGGATCCCCCCACCAAAGCAGAATGGATAAAAATAGTGAATGACATATATGCAATGGAGGCAATAACTTACTCTATCAGGCTGCAAAAACCTGCTTTTATCAAAGTATGGTCAAGCTGGGTCAAATTTATCAAACCTCTTCAACCGGACTTTGTAGAAGTACAACTCAACTGAATTCTATATACATACATTTTTGTTTGTTGTTGTTTTGTTTTATAAGCGTCTCGTACGGGTTAACTTGTTAACCCACCCTGTTAAACTAATAGCATGGGTAAACAAAGGCTCTCTCCCGTTATTTGCTCTTGTATGTTTGTTTAAGAAAAAAAAGAAAAAACAACAGATGGTGGAATGTATATGAAACCTTTTCTATTGTACATGTGTTGTATACTTGTAGTTCACTATCTGTAAATAAAAAATTTCAAAAAAAAAAAAAACTGCTCCAGTACCTCACACAATAAGAAAGGAAAACGTAGGAACAACGGTTTACAATTTTTTAGGCTACCAAAATGGATACAACATCAGGGAGCGCAAGTGTCTGACCTGACGAAGAGACGCCGGATGGCTTGGTTGGCTGCAATAAGAAGAAAGGACCTTACTTTCGATCTCACCCCCAGTCGATGAGAGTGTGTTCTCTGCATTTTCACTCGGGTAAGTCCTAAAATGTCTTTATGTTGTTTTTTTTTAAGTTAAGAAGTGTAGGTTACCTAGCTGTTAATGTTGCAAACACCGAAGTGCGTCTTAAGTTAGCTGCCTAGCTAACTATCTAACAAACTGTTGCCTCTATGAAAATGCTTAATGGCCAACCATTAATGTTAACTAAGAATATTTAAGTTTCTGCTCATTATCCTACCTTGTTGGTGGAATATGGGCACTCAAAGTGCGTTTGTCTCTGTCTCTTATGTTCTCTAAACCAGTGGTGCCCAAACT